ATTTTCAATTTTGCACAAAATTACTGTACATATCGAATCATGAATGAAAATTCACATTTTCTCATTCAATGTCTTCTGTTGTAATGATTTTCCATTAACTTTAACCCCAAAATATTTTAACTAAGGGTTGACATAAAGACAAAATAAACTTCTTGGATGGATTTGAGACAAAAGAATTGTTAAAAGACTGCTAGAGAAATTATCTCAAATTGAAGAGTATTGAATTTTGGGGCCGAAAGGAGTCCAAATGATTTGAAACTCAAGAGAAAGGCCCTGAGGCCCAAACCCCAGCAAGAATTGATTATTTTGCATAGAAGTTGGCAGGAACACGACAAGATGGAGACCTTGTTGGACCTAACTGCATGCTGAATTGAATGGGAAGCCAAGAAAAAGTGGAAAAGGACAAGAGAGTGCGTGGGTGACACACGTTCCCTTAGAAAATTTGGGATGAAAATTGCATTGGACTGTGGATTCCACGTTCCTTCCAATAGTAAAAAAGAGCCAAGTTGCTAAGCGTTTTAGGTTTTAGGTGCTGTAAGGACAGGGCCAAGGTGCCAAGCCTCGGACTGTTACAGTAATTCCTTTATGACCGAAGTGAGGAATAAATCCAAAACTTCCCGCTCAAATAGCAGCATGACAATGACAATAAGCATGCCCGCACCTGATTCCTTATGATAAGCGGCACAGCAAGTATGGTAGACATCCGTATATATGAATACCTCTCAAATTCCCGGTCTCGAAATAATCGTCTGGATGGACGTCAGGCTCCGATTATCTTGCTTGGCATGCCACGTGAGTTCCTCATTGGATCCTATAAATACCCCTCCGGGCCACGTCAAAAAGGTAATTGAAACCAACCCTAAGCTCTTTTTATCTCTGCCCTAAAGGTAGCCCCGATTATTGCTGACTTAAGCGTCGGATTGTCTACCCCAAGTTCCACCTCGGGGCTTTGCAGGTCATCCCGGAGTGCAAGCGTGGACTGGAGAAGGACTTCTGGTTTGGTGCAATTACATTGGCGCCGTCTGTGGGAATCGAACTGAAAGCTCCCTAGTTGCTCTTCTGTCATGGTTCACACTCGATTGATCCGAGTTGGTAATTCATCTCTGCCTCATGGGCAAGGTCAACCCCCCAACAACCTTCCACCTCTGATCCCACCTCAGATCCCACCTCAATTTCCACCTCAGGATCATGCAGAAGGAGGAGATGAAAACCAACCCCATACCTCAGCTCACAATTCAACTTCCACGGCCAACCAAGATGTGGTGACAGCTCAGCTTGCTACCATGCAGCAGCAGTTTGGTGTTTTTCAGTTGGTACTGGCTCAGCTTTTAGCTAGAAATAATCCTGGTGATCCTCTCATTAATTTACTAAAACCTGCTCAACAACCCCCAGCTCCACAACAGAATCCTCAACCGGTCCAATCTGCTCCCGTTGTTAGTGAATCTCAGGGTCAATCCCACATAGCACCCGCTCAACAACCCATCCCTGATAATGTTACTCGCCGTCTCGATAGCCTGGAGAAGCTAGTAGCCGAACACCGAGGTGCTCCACCCCCACATCATGCTGCTGATTCTATACCTCACCCTCTGAATACCAACATTACGCTGGAACCCTATCCCATTGGCTTCAAAATACCACAACTGGAGACTTATGATGGGACGAAGGATCCCGATGATCACCTGCATGCTTTCTACTCTTGTATGCAAGCTCAGAACGCCTCTGACGCGTTAATGTGCAAAATCTTCCCCTCTACTCTGCGAGGTAATGCTCGAACTTGGTATTATAGTCTACCTCCGAGGTCAATTAGCTCTT